CTAATAACCCTGATCTGATATTTTGGAGAATATATTTAGAAATCTCGATGCGATGTTTTTTAATAGAAGGTATATGTACTAACGTTGATGTAGTTAGTCTCTTACATTACGAATGTATATCATAACGATCATAGTTGGACATAGGAATAAGAGTTAAGGGACACCATTGACAAAGTACGCTGTACATGACTCGAACCATATAGCAAAGAAGATTCGTGTTGCCACGACAGGAAACATAGATTTTCCCCTTCTCCCATGAGACATCTAAATTTGGATTCGGTGATTCATCCGAATATGTGTTGACAAATCTCAGTTATATTTCTTTCATTCTATATGCGCAATATATATTTGATCATCATTTATTTTTTTTTCTTGCCTATATTATTTAATCCTATTATTGTCTAATTTCTTTATCAATTTTCATTTAACAATTTTTTTGATGAGTCTTTTTTCTAAAATAAATTTTCGGTATTTGTAATGATGGTGTAAGGTTTCGTCATGTTGTGGATTAAAAAATTAATTTATTTCAATAAATACGAACCCTCTTTTAACCATACACATTTCCTTTCTGAATCGTATAAATACGGAAATTATCTAATGACGTATCTAATTTATTACTTTCCAATTTCTAATACATTTCTATTTATTCGATCAATAATTGTTCAAATTATTGGTCAATTATTTTCTAAGTAAAATGTTTCAATATTTATAATAATAACAAGGTTTATAGAGGGGGTCGACAGAGAATTACGTCAAGATTAATATATTTCTAATACCGATCCAATAAATATAAACCCTTATAATCATAAACTTCCTTTATCAGTAATATAAATACACAGAGAAACTATTGAAATGATAAAACGAATTTAATGAGATTTGAAATTCCGGTTGAAAATCCAGAAACGTTTCCCGAAGTAATTAATTTTCGAATGAGAAATTTCCCAACGGAGATTGATATTAATAATAATAATAATTAATAATAATAATAATAATAATAATAGTTTCTTTCTCCAAACACATGAAAATAATGTAACGACATCGGAAATGATACGAAAACGACGTATCGAAATGTCGAATATATTTTTATTATATGTAGATAAATGAAATTGATATAAATTTCCTATTTCCCGAGATATGATAGAAGTTCGATGTGAACGATTGGTTATTGCTCATTCCCTTTTGCCTATGCTAAAGTTCAACGATGCAACCTTTGTAACCTCCCTGTCTATTGTTGGTGGTAAGCGGTAGCGATGATCAGCATAAGTCGTTAGTTCGCATAAAGTGGTACATCAAAAGAAAGCTTTAGTGGTAGTGGTTGTCTGTAAACATGCCTTTCGACCTGCCTTTTGTCATCCAATTCAACTTGGAATGGCCACTTGTGATCCAAGACAAAAATATATGTCGCATTCCTCCTTTGCTTTTCTCTTTCTATCATTCTTTCTATCATTCTTCTTTCTTTCTCCGTCTCTGTTGTTTTTATCTATATTAATGTTTCTTTTTCTCAAAAAGAAGCTCGTTGATAGTAATAAAGGAAGACGGAAAAGAAGTAGAAAAGAAAATAAAGAAAAAAACTACGTAACAATATCGAGGAACAATTTCACGCTACTCTTATTTCTCGATTAAAATGAGAAATATAGTTGGATTTTCTGCAAATACATTTACGAGAGAAGAAAAATTAAAGAAAATAAATAATAGATCCGAGTGAAATATTTTATTCGAATAGTTTTTTCTTGTTTTTTTTTTGTTTTTTTTTTTTCATAAGGGATACCGAGAACGATAGAAAGAAATTAAAAAACAAATAAAATTGTGATTTCATGTTCCGTGATATATATATATAGCTCTCGATTGAAAGTATAATAATATCGTGGAACGTTTTGCAAATATATTGGGAATGAAGATAAATTAGAAAAAAAAACCGAGAGAAATTATATTATTTGAATATTGTTGATAAACGGTACCAACATAATATCAAGAACAATAGAACGATAGAATCGATTTCATGCTCGATTTATTTCTCGATCAAAAGAGAAAAAATATTTGAACGCTGTGCGTATCCGTCGGGGGATGGGGGGGGGAGAGGGCAAAAAAAATTAGAAATTAAAAAAATATATTGTTTCAATATTTTTTGTAAAAGGAACATCGATCTGTAGTACCAAGAACCAACGGGAAAATAAATAAAAATATGAAACGAGATAAAAAATAATGGAAGATCAATTTTACATTCGTGTTCCACTTCAATTAAAATTAAAATAAATAAAGAAAACGTAGTGTGCAACAATGTGTGGAAATAAATATATATATACAATATATATATATAAAAAAAACCAATATGGAAAAAACAAAGTTATTATTTCAATGTTTTCGAAAAAGAATAACAGTAAAAGATAAAAAAAAAGAAAATCATATTACGAAATGGAGGATCAATTTTTTATGCTCGTGTTCTTTTTCAATTAAAATAAAAATAAATACAGAAAGAATAATAATGGAACAATAAAAAATATTGTTTCAATAATTTTGAAAAAGAATACAAACCTATATATAATGAAAAGAACAAAAATTATTTTACAATGTCAAGGATTAATTTTATGTTCCCGTTATTTCACGATTACAAGAAAAATAAAGAATTAAAACAGCGTGAAAATATATATTGAGGAAAAAAAGGAAGTGCAGAAAGAGAGAGGAAATATATTATTTTAATATTTTTGAAAAGGGATACTAACGCATAGTAGGAAGATGCTGGGGGCTTCTTATTAAAATGCCGTGCTTCCTACAAATGCAAAAATCTGTATTCAGAGCACGCTTTTCACACCACAAGAAGTAGTATTAGTATTACCTTTTCATATTTCTTTTTTTTTCTCTCTTTTTCTCTCTCTCTCTCGTTTAACAGCGTATTCAAATCACGTGCAACTTGCGAAGCTTGCAAATAATTTCGAGCTAAAACAAAACGATTAACGATTCGTGTTGAATAATTCGTTGAGTAATTAAACATTTCGATTAGAACGATTTGTAGTAATAGGATTGAAAATTGTTCTTTGTTTGATGAATTTTTATAATCGTTTTATTAAAAGTTAGACTAAAAATTGACTACGTAATCGATTATCGAATGTACATAGTTCAATAATCTCACGTTCAGACAAAGTACCAATTTTATTGTGTAACGTGTAATAATTGATGAGTGATCCATGATGGTTCTAATCAAGAGTAATAAAATCGAAATGTATAAATCTTTAACGAATAAAATGCGATTCGATTTCTCTATCTATCCAACTATCTTTCCATCTATCGGTATGAATAATTTGATAGACACAGTCGAAGCTATTTGGAAATTTAACGACGCGCAAATTACATTGTGGTTTATCTCGTGTTCGTGTATTACTATGCATTACGGTTTAATAAATTATATTTCTCTTTGCATTTGTCATACATAGAGAAAGAAAGAGAGAGAGAGAGAGAGGAAGAGAGAGAGAGATAGAGATAGAGAGAGAGAGAGAGAGAGACATGTATGAGATATGCATGAGATATGCATGAATGTACATGTGTGTGTGCATTATATTTGATGATAGTAGAACCAGAGTGAATTTCAACAGGTGTCAAAGTTATGGAACATGCAAATTATTAGTGATAACGATCTAGCAAGTAACAAAAAGAAAAACAGGAAGGAAGATGATAAGGAGAAGAGGATTTGAAAAAAAAAAGAAAAAAAAATAATAAAGAGAGGAAAGAAACAAAAATTAATAAAACAATAAAGAAGAAAAAGAAGAAGAAGAAGAAGAAAACTTGAGAGAAAGGAACGAAATGATCCGTAAGAAAAGGAAGAAAAATTTTTGTAGAATTGGATCTCGAAGAGATTTCTTTCACGCCTCGAGAAAGAAAAACTTTTCTTCCGCGAAGTATGAAAAAGTTTGACCATAAGAAAAAGAACAAATTCTGACGTGACGACAATGAGAGAAGTAGTGGTGAACAGAAAGAAGTAGTGTGTATAGGAGAGAAAAAAAGAATAAAAGAAGTTGTTACTTTCTTCTCTTGTCGATGAAGAACAAGTATCTCCTTGAATATTTTTACCTCAAAATATTCTTCGAGATATTCTAACATGACATGAATATACATATTTAAAATTCTATCTACAAAGTTGAATACTTTAAACCACTTTCCATCTAACTTTACATTTAATAGGTTAGCCCTCATGAGAAATGTTAGTAGGTAAGCCCCTTCACATTACCAAAGTACTTACTTACCCTCACTATACCTACAACACCTATGTCAATTATATTCACTCATTACTACTGATCGTTCCTAACAAGTAGAATTTACAACTAGAATTCACAGTGAAATCCTCTATAGATATTGTACTGCAAACAACCTTATTGATCCTTGTAATCAGGCTTTGAACGTTATCACAACAGACCGATACTACAGCATCTATCAATATTTTTACAATACAACCTGAACGTTTAATTATCGAAAAACCTGACAGACTGAAGTTACTATGTTTTATTTTTAGATGTACTTGTTGGGGTACGTATTATATAAAATAATAAGAAAATTGTACCAGAACTTTCTTACAAATCTTTTGAAAACGTATTAATTATTTCGTAGAGAAACTCAATAGATTTGTCTGTAATTTTTCACAATAATCCAAACGTTTTATATATATATATAAGTATAATATTAAATAATTAAAAACTCTATACAATGAAGTCTCATTGTGTATTATTTTAAAATATAGTTTAAAAACTGCGGAATTAAGAATTGGCAAGAAAATTGTACTAGAACTTTCTTACAAAAAATCTCTTAAAAATTAATTACTTTTCTTGCTGCGGTTGAAGAGATATCATTTCATAGAATATTACAAATTTAAACTCGACCTAGTATTGGCCTTAAGAAACCTAGGTTGAGTAACGCTGCAATAATATTATATATTCAATCTCTCTCCTTTACTTCCTCTCTCTCTCTCTCTCTCTCTCTCTCTCTCTCTCTCTCTCTCTCTCTCTCTTTGTTCATCGAATAGTTAATCACACAATGGTAACAATCTGTTAGTTGGAAATTCGAGTCCTTGGTAATGGCTAACAGCAATGGCATCAAATCCACCTCAGAGCTTATTCCCTTGGGCTGTCACCCATTTCGTGCTTTGATGAAAGCTTCGAGAAGTCGACTACATCATCTTCTCAAGCCTCGTCAATGAAACAGAGAGAGAGAGAGAGAGAGAGAAATAGTGTCGAGTATTCAAAAAAAGTGTACTGATTCGAGAAAGGGAAGAACTTTTCATTCGACTTGTCTCGGGAATATCGAAATGCTTTCTACAAATTCATGCCACCAAACTGTTATACTTTATCTTATTGTTAAGTTTATAGAAATATTTGTGATTTCAGGTATTCGATATTTATTTTGTTTTTAATATTCCTGACACACTAAATGTATGCACGATAAAGTATATATTGATATATCGTCATATATCAAGTATGTTTGTCAAGGATAATCTTTAGAAAAAAATAAATGGAGTATGAAAAGTTACCTCAGCAAGGTGTAATCTCTTTCTCTCTCTCTCTCTTTCTTTCTGAACAAAGAACATGTAACATATATATATACATGCATGGCCTCGAACTAGGACGACATCGTGAAACCACAATCGGAACAAACCAACGCAACAAGCGATTTTCTAAGACTCAACATTCTAGATTTCTAGATTTTAATGCGATGACAATGGTATTGTTAGAATAAAATTGATTGTAAGTAGTTACACATATATACACAAACACACATAAATACACCTGTATGGAATACGATTGAAATGAAAAATATTTTGTAGGTTGAATAATGAATGATTTTGAGTGGCTTGATTATTAGTGGTACACTGTTGAAGTATATATTACCTTGAGAGTAACCGAACACTGTACACCCTCCTACTACTCGTCGGAACAATATTGCTCTTCGCGTACTGTAGCTGAATAAGCAGATCAAATATTTGATGGGGTGGCAGAGAGGAAAAAGAGAGAACGAGAGAGAGAGAGAGAAAGAGAGAGATGGAAAGAAAGATTATTTAAAATGTATGTATACTTGCATTAGTTGTTACATTTACAATGTTCCAGTTTGAATTAAAACATTAATCTTTCTTTTTCAGTACATGTATGTACACGATAGTCCGTAAATCAATTGACAAAAGAGTATTGTTAATATATATATATATATCAATTTAATTTATAAATATTGAGTCATGCAAACAAAATTCCTTTTTGTCTTTCGACATTAAAGTTTACAAAAGCTTTCAAAATAGAAATAAAAAAATTGAGTAATGGGTAGTATCAATCGATTTATGTTTAACCTGGTAAATGTATTTTATATGTAGAATTAAATTAATATTGTTTAAATTTGATAATTTCTAAAACAACACTAACGTAACCCTGAAGAAAATCCTGACGCAATCCTGTATGTGTATTTATTAAACAAAAAATTTAATAAATATCTTTTAAATTCGATAAAACTTTTAACGCAACCGTGATATAACCCTAACGATACCCTGTATATATATAATATATATTCTGCATAAACAAATTAAATATCATTTATATTTGATAATTTCTAAAAGAACGTAAGGAAAACGCCGATCGGTTTGGTTAACGAAAATAAAACTCGAGTTCGTGGAATCGATCGGTAAAAGTTATTTAAAGAATCCTCAAGTGTGTCAGAGACACACGCGATGCTTTTTAATTTTATCGAAGGAACCACCGAAATAATCCATTTCAAAAGATGAAGAAATACTGAAAACATAATAATACAATAAAATAAAAAATTCCAAAAAAATCTCTTCATCATCAACGAATATGCATATCTAGTTAGAAGAGATACTTATACACATACACACACACAAACACACATGTACTTACAACTTAGGTATAGAAATACAAAGATATGTGTAATACACGGAAAAGCACAAATTTATGTATAGAAACTAACGAAAACCCGAACACACATACACATAGTATGTTATATTACATCTCTCAAAGTTAATTCAACGCGAACCGACAGTAACGTTGTAACGTTGCAAACGTTGTATCGTATTGTATAATAGCTGAGGCTCCAATGAATGGAACTGAAATGAATCTTTATGATCTTTTTATTGTCGATATACGAAACACACATACAAACATAAAGATACATATATATATATATATATATATATATATATATATATATATATATGTACAATAATGTACATACGTGCAGAGTGACATACCACGTAAGTATGCCTAATAAGGAACAACAGTGATCATGACGGTAGTAGTTATGGTTATGACGATAATGGTGGTGGAAGGATAGAGAGGGTGGAGTGGGGGTTGAAAAGAGCACGTTTCATATAAATTTCGTTTAACGATTTTGTAAGTGAACCATGACTTTCTGGGGCTTCTCGACTCGCATAGTACATCACCTCTTCTCATCCTCCTTTCTTTTCTCCCTCCCTCCCCCTTCCTCCATCACTCATTCTCTCTCTCTCTCTCTCTCTCTCTTTCTCTCTTTCTATTCGTTCGTTCTCATCCAACCTTTTGCTGCGCTCGTTCCGGTAAGTTCGTCAGGGCTCGTGTTCGCTGGCACTCCCACTCGTCCAGAGACAAGTAGCAAAAAGCATCGCTTTTTGCATTAAGTATGACCCCGGCACGCTACTCACTCGTACCCACTTCTTCTTCTACTCCTCCCTTATCCCTCTACTTTCCCGTTCCCCCCTCCTACCTCTCCCACCGCCTCCTCCTCCTCCTCCTCTTCCTCCCCATTGCTGCTGCTGCTTTCCATACCCATCCCTCTTCACATCTTCGACATGGACTCCCATTTATTTGCACTCTCCACAGGAAATACGTCATTACTTAATATTTTGTTTCATTTTCAATATCGGACAATATGCTGCTGCTTTATTTATTACAAATCATTCGAGAAATTATATTTCATAATTTTGTTTGTGATATCAAGTTGTACGTTTCGATTTATGGAAATCGTAATACTGGAATATTTTGTTTCATTTTCAATATATAGGAGATTGGAATACTTCATTTAATTATTTGAAAAATTCTTTTTTTTTCATTTTGTTTATCGCATAAAATTGTATGATTTTTCGATGGAATTTGTTATAAAAGATATTCATTATGGCAACCAAAAATTACGTTGCTATTTAATACTAATTATCATTTTGCATTTAGATCATCCCCTTCTTGGTTATTAGAAAAATAATTTTAACCTATTATATTAGAGATATGAAATTTTTTAAATTATACAAATCAGTATATGGAAACAATCGTATAAGATATTCACATTGTATAAGCAAGATAGCATTATCATTTAATATTAATTTTCATTTTGGATCCCATATAAACTGGACTCCATTTAGTTATTCGAGAAATAATTTGAATAAATTAAATGTTGTAAATTGTTCGAATCAGTTAATGGGAACAAACATAAAAAATATTCACAATAAAAAAAAATTGTGTTGTCATTTATAATATTAAAATGTTCAAATATATATAATTTAAATATATATTTATTATATATTAAATATTAAATCAGTTTATGAGAAAAACCATAAAAAAGAAACTCACATTATAAGAAAATGATGTCATCGCATAATACTAATTTTCATTAGGCATATCGACAACACCCCATTTAATGAATCAAGAAATAATTTGAATACAAGTACCGTCTATCTAGACCATGTGTCTAATTTTTCATCGTGCGAATCAGTTTATGGGAACACTTACGAAATACACTCATACTGCATGAGAGAGTTACGATCATACTTAATACTTATTTTCACTTTTCTTATCGACCATGCTCTCCCATTAAAGTCATCCGGGAAATAATGATCATTTATGCATTTAAATATCGTAATTTTTCATCGCGCGAATTATTTCACGAGAATTATTCGTAATTCACGATGTGAGAATATTACGTAGTCGGTTAAATTTTCATTTTAATATATCATTTACATTCGAGAGATCATTTGTAATAAAACATTAAAATACAAACTACGTGTGAATAATTTTTGATCGTGCGAATGGATTTATGTGAACGTTCGCAAAAGCTGTTCACAATATAAGAGTTTCTTTTTATGTAAATATATATGTGTATGTGTATAAAATATATGTGCGTGTATAGGATTGAATGATTTCATTCATATGTACGTGCCCGGAAGATTAGAATTTTGTAGAGGCCTCGGCTAGCAGCTGTTCCGATGTTATCCATGAGCCAGCAACCAGTCAACCACCACCGGTCGCTGCTGTTGCTATGGTTTATCGAATCATTTTCATTCCTTGCCAAATTTAAACTTTCGACAAATAAATTCGAAAGATATATAACGTATCCCCTCCCCCCGTCATTCAATATATTCAAAATAATAATAATAATAATAATAATATTAATAATAATAATAATTATTATAATGATAACGATGGGGATATTTGATTATGAATAAATTTCATTTAGTTAAATACTAGCACGTATTCGTTACGTGCATTCGTAAGTGTGTGCGTACAACATTTAAACTGTCCTGGCACATCGTTAATTGCGATTTCGTGACAATTTCGAAAAATGCTGGAAGCGTTCCGCGCGCGTTCATTGTAAAACGTGGAGAGTGCTCTTTTTTTTCCTCCTCCCTTTTTTTTTTACCTCCTTTTTCTTTCTTTTTATTTTTTTTTTTTTTGAAGTGTTAATGCATACTTCAGTGCCGTCTACCCGGAGAGTGTAGTTATCTCGAGTAAGCCGAAAGTTTATCCAATTTCTCGAGCAATTCTTTTTCTCTCTTTTTCTTTATTGTGGTACGAGTAGCAACAAAAATTAAAAAAAAAAAAAGAAAGAAAAAAAGGAAAGAAGGAGAAAATAACGATGCAACGATAAATAAAAAAGAAAACTTCTTCTTTCCCCCATGCAAATGAAAATTGTCGAGAATGGGAAGAAAGTGTGTAAATTTAAGTGAAATAAAGAATAAAATGAACGAATAGAAAACATTTAATTACAAATCGATTTTTATTCAGGATTTTTACGAAACGATTAAATACGTCGCACGAAAAACAAATAGAAAAATTCATGATAAATCGAATATATACGATAAATCGTAGAATATCACTTTTTAAAGCGAAATGATTATTGAAAATTCGTCGGAGTTTTTTGTTATCATAGGGAAAGAAAATGAATCATTAGAACAAATGTAATCTAAATAACTATGTATATGTGGATACATACCAATGGAAGGGGAAAGTACCAATAAAGTATTGCCAATGGTTACGAAGCACACACCTGTCCGGATCTCACAAAACGAGGAAAACCCACAAATTACACTCGCCATTCGTGAACGTTGTGAAGTAGTAAGCTTTCCTTCATCCTCTATTTCAATACGATTTCGATGTAGCGTAATAAAAGAGAGAAGAGAAGAGAAGATAAGACAAAGAAAGTAAAAGACAAATTTTTTCTCATACAAAAGTTAGAATGAAAGAGAAAAAAGATGGATAGAAATAGTGAAAGATGAATAGATTAGAAAGATAAATTGATTGATAAATAAAATTAAAGATAGAAAAGGAGGAGCCCTCCTTTACTTCTTCGCAACACTACGACACGTCATAGTTTTGTCGATGATTACCGGCTTGCTCGTGTGCGTGCGCGCGAGAAAGAGATAGAAAGAGAAAGAAAGACAGAGAGAGAGAGAGAGAGAGAGAGAGAGAGAGAGAGAGAGAGAGAGAAGTTCGATATCGATTTTTAAAGATTTTCCTACGGAAGAAAACTTGTTAATATATTTATATACACGTGTATATATACATATATACATATATATGCATACACGTATGCATAAAAAATGTAGGGATAATTGTGATTAAGAAAACAAAAAATATATGAATTACTTTGAAATAGAAGAAGAAGAAGAAGAAGAAGAAGAAGTAGAAGAAGAAGAAAGTAGAAGAAGTTAAAGTCGACGATCTCTCTCTTTCTGAAACGCGAACGGAGCGAGAATAAGAGAAACGGTATCAACGAGGTTGTCACGACGACTGACCGAACTGACGGCAGAGTGCGACATAACAGCCCTTTGCCGGGTCGACGCATGCGTCCCCGCCACCCCGTGCCCAACCCTATTTTCCCACAGCCACCGTCCTTCCTATGACCGTGTCCATCTTTTTCCCCTCTCGTGTGTCTCTCATTGTTGCACCACTGCCAAATGCAACCGGTGCCGTACAACAACTCGCTCTCCTCTTCCTCTTCCTCTTCCTCTTTCTCTTCCTCTTCCTCTTCCTCTTCCTCTTCCTCCTCTTCTTCTTCTTCTTCTTCTTTTTCCATTATTCGTTCTTATTCTTATTTTGCTATATTCCTTCCCGTTTACTCTTTTAGGAATTTAGGTATAGATACAGGTAGGTTGTATGAAAAAGGGAGAAATACCGAGGGGTTCTCTTTTCCACTCGTCTACCACCTGCGTTGCCTTTGGGATCGTTTTTATATAGCTTTCTCTTTCTTTTTTTTTTCTCTTCTCTTTTCTTTATTTTTTTCTTTTCATCATCCATCTCACCTTAGCCTTTTACCACTTCCCCGTTTATCCACATATCATCCTTTTCCCTTTTCTTTCTTTCTTTCTTTCTTTCTTTCTTTCTTTCTCTTCCTTCCTTTGACTCTCACGTTTCTTTCATCTCGTTCTTTGTTCCAGCTATTTCCGCGTTTATTTGACTTGTACGATCGTTTTAAAACTATACACACATATATATACATATATATATATACATACATAATACATATTTATATATATATATATATTTATGCGTATATGTTGTCGAGGACGCTAAGCGTGTTACAGGTGACACTTAAAGTTCCAAAGTAATTGAAACGTGAATGGGTAATATAATACCAACGTTGAAGGATAGTCATCATACTTATTATAAACGTGTTATGAGATATATTAAAAAAACTATTTATTACAATATAATCATCATTTTTACGATCAATGAATAACCCAACCCAACCAATAAATATCTTAATACAATCACGATCACTCTTTATTCATACATTACACAATATTTTTCATTTATTTTATTTTATAATCTTTAGTTTTTATTCGTATCGTATGTGTTAAAATAAATTTATCTCCATTTTGAAATTGAAATAACTTTCGTGAAATATATTTTGTTATTTGTTTAAATATTGTTTTGTTTCTATTGTATTTTATTTATTTTTTTCATTTTATTTGTCAACATTATAATGAATTATTTACTTATGTTTATACTACGATTGTAATTACACACCACGGAGATTTGTTTTCCATGCATATTTTCTTTCACCTTTTGAATTGGTTTTTAATTCGCCCCGTCAATTACTTCGATAAATCGATAAAAGTCGGTAGATATATTCACTGTGTGTCTTCGATTCATGGTAAAGATCAACCGTGGCGCCATCTGCCTAGTAAATTTTCAAACAATCACGTTTATTATTTGGTATATACGAGCGTCTAATGTTGTGCAATATAATATTCTTGAAAAATAATTGAAATGGGAAAGAAAAATAAAGTTCAGAATTTAGGAAAATCATTGATCAGAGATCGTTTTGGTTCTTCCACCGCTAGAAAATTTCGTGGAGATTTTTCTAAGGTAATAACATAGTAGAAAATATGTTTACATTTGTATCAATTATATTTATAAAATTCACATATGTTAGTATATATTAAATATATTTAAGATATATTAAAATATGTATTATAGTTTCGTATAAAATATTTAATATTAATTATATTGCGTGGTTTTAATAATTATAAACAATTTTGAGATTATATTTCAACAAAAATGTTAACAATATTTCTTTTGAGGCTATCTCAATAGCAACGTGATACTTAGACTATTTGTTTAATTTAATTTTCATTTTATATTTTAAAGCTACATTCAGAAAACATAAACGATGGATACGATTGGGCATGTCTGAATCTTCAATCGGTTACCGAGCAAAGTTCTTTTGAAGAATTTCTAGCCACTGCAGATCTTGCCGGAACAGAATTCAATGCAGAAAAGTTAAACATTAAGTTTGTTAATTTACAAAATTTGCCTGGGTTATTGAGTAAGGATGAGAAAAAGAAAGTTTTGGAAGAACACGAGAAGCATAAAGGGTTTCTTAAAATACCGAGGAGACCAAAGTGGGATAGTTCTACCACAGCACAAGATTTACAAGCTAAAGAGAAAGAAGAGTTTTTAGAATGGAGACGTAGCTTAGCAGTTTTACAAGAATCCGAAGGCCTTATTCTTACACCTTATGAAAAGAACTTAGAATTTTGGAGACAATTATGGAGAGTAGTTGAACGTAGCGATGTTGTCATTCAAATTGTTGATGCACGTAATCCTTTATTGTTCCGTTGTGAAGATTTAGAAAACTATGTTAAAGAGATTGATCCTAAGAAAATGAATTTAATTCTTATCAATAAGGCAGACTTTTTAACCGATACTCAAAGACAATTGTGGGCAGAATACTTTACGAGTATTAATATGAGAGTTGCATTCTTTTCTGCTAAATTAGCTATGGAAAGTGAAAAAATTGAAGAAGAATCCGAGGAGGATGATGAAGATTCTGTTGATGCAGAAAAGGATGATAGTAGTGATGAAAGTAATGAAATTAATGAAAATAATGGTGAAAGTAATGAAAATAAAGAAGAATTGTTGCATGATGTAACAAAAAATATAGAAAAACAAGATAAAGACATAAAAGAGTCGTTGAATAATCAAACGAAGAATACAGAAATACAAGATAAAGATAATGTGTCGGAGCTTGTAGAAAATGAATCATTGATTAAAAATTCTTCAGAATTATTAACCAGAGATGAATTGATTTTATTATTTAGATCTATATATAAAGAAAAAACATATATGGAAGGAGTTACAACGATCGGTATGGTAGGATATCCTAATGTTGGAAAAAGTTCGACAATTAATGCATTATTACAATATAAGAAAGTTTCTGTATCAGCTACTCCAGGCAAAACAAAACATTTTCAAACTTTATTTCTGGATAAAGATTTACTTTTATGTGATTGTCCTGGCTTAGTAATGCCATCGTTTGTTTGTACTAAAGCTGACATGATTTTGAATGGCATATTGCCAATCGATCAGATGAGAGATCATGTTCCACCGGTTACATTACTTGCTACATTGATACCGAAATATGTAATTGAAGATATGTATGGAATTATGCTACCTATACCAGCAGAAGGAGAAGATCAAGATCGACCACCAACTGCGGAAGAAATTTTAAATGCTTATGGATGTAAGTTGTTATTAAAAATTCAATTCAATTTTATTTTTTAATTACTCATCTAATAAAATTCATTTTTAGATTTTAGAGAAGGAAAATTATATTTAAATTAATAAATATTATTGCATGGATTCGTTTTCAGATAGTAGAGGTTTTATGACACAGAATGGTCAACCAGATAATCCACGAACTTCTCGTTACGTTTTAAAAGATTTTGTAAATGGAAGACTTTTATATTGCGTTGCTCCGCCAACGCAAAATCAAAATGAATTTCACCAATTTCCTCCTCCACGGAGAATTAAAACAGAAAATACTCATATAACGCCTAGAATGGCTCGTATAATTGGAGGGAAAAGAACTACGTCTGAGGAATTAGATAAAAAATTTTTAACACAACAATCTGTTGGTGTTCACGCTAGAGGTGTTCCTGGAAAAGCACGTGGTTTACCACAGAATGCTAGAAATAAGTAAGTATTTTTAAATAATATAAATTATATAAAATCATTTGTGTGTCTGTGTGTGAGAAAGACGCTTTAAAATATTTGTTAATTTTAGTGGCATAGCTGGTTCTGCAGCTAGTTCAGTTGCTGGTTCAATGCAAAATCTTTGTATTGAGGAGAAGCCATGGAAAAAAATTAACAAACATTGCAATAAAAAGAAACGGGAAAAAGCTAGGAGACTATATAGTCATCTCGATCAACATTAATATAACAAAAATATGACACATTAATTGTGACCTTCCTAGGTTTAGGTATTTGCTAAGTTTGAATATATCGATTAAATAACAAAAATTACTGAATTTTAAGGAAATGAAAATTCATTTTATATAAAATAATATAAAAAATGAATAAATCATCTGTATAAAATAAATATTGTAAAGTATAATAGACGGCTATCTTATCGAATTTTTTAAGATTACGTAGTAGCAGTGGATAAAAGGATCTTATGATCTTTTGGTTTAGGAATATACGTCATGTCTTTATTTTATGCAACATATTAATTTTCGCTCCTCATGCCTCATCCTTGCAAGTCGACCAACTTGGTGTGGAGTCCCTCATATACAAGTGATTATAATAAAGTTAAAATATTTTACGTTTTTGTAACTTTTCAGTTTATTTAGACTAATATTTAATCGAGATATATACATAAATGTATACATCGACATCCTATTCCTCAATACAATTTGATAAACTTTGGCGCAGATATTCGCTATAAATTCTATACATATCATATAAATATGTTATATTTATAAAATTTCTTTAACCGAAAATGATTTAATTATTTAAATAGGAAGCACTTATCATTCTTCATTATTATTATCCTTAAATATCCAGATCAATAAATTCAGAAAAGGATAATTAAATTACATACATACTTGAGTTATTTTTATATAAATTAGGTTCAAAGAACATCGAAGTTCCTTTCAATTTGATAATAGCATTGTTCATTCTTAGTAGAAAAGTACCGTGTGTAAAATTGTTCTAACGAATTTCGATTCAAATTCATGCAGCAATTCGTCTATGTCATTGTCTAAGTCTTCGCTGTTAGCCAACTGAAAGGATAAAAGAAGTTTTGTTATTATTTATATGTACAATAAACTTTCCTTAACTATTTTAAAGGTAAATAATAATTAATATATTAACACGTTTGCTATATTATGCCACAAAGAAAAAATTCCAATTATTGCCTAGAACTTATTTATCACATTGGTTATCGTTGTAAATGTGTGATGCAGGTTTTCAATGGAAATCGATGTCATGGAAATGTGACACTGGTAACAAACGTGTTAATGCATCTTTTAATATGTTAAATATTAAGCCTTTTTTATTGAGTTTTCTGTTCAGGCAACAATGATCTATCAATCATAAAAAAAACATAATGTTGGCCATTGGTGACTAACACAACCTGGACTGAAAATCTAAGGCTGGTTCGTAGAGACTGGCATGTGTGGGGTTTTTTAACATGTTAAATAATATATCATATAATAATAATAAACCTCAAACGAAATAGATATATATATATATAATAAATTCAGTGAGTCAGATGAGTATTCGTACCCCATTATAGCTTTAAACGAATGATATTTATTTAAAGGGCAAGTTTATAAATTTTTATGGGAATGAATGATTACTAAACTTTCAGACTCATATAAATTCTATCACAAAAGAACATTTCAATATGTTATAAGTATAATTTTATGTAAACAGTAACAAAGTGGATATTACAGGAGTGCATCAACAGTCTAGTCACGTTGGATTACTACTAGTTCCCGATTGATCAACCAACGGGAACACGGTTAGTAACGTGGATGAATGACCCATCCATGAATCCAGAAGTAACATACAAAAATCGTGATTCCAGAAAGTCGATAAAAAAACGCTCGGGCTTTGGTATATTGAATAAATGTGAGAAGATGGTTAGTAGAAAAGAGTTACTCGAATTCGTAAGAGGAAGAGTAAAAAAACAAAAATAAAAAACAAAAATTGTAAATACCACAGTGACTAATTCACAGATGAGAAATGATCCAACTGTAGCCTCTTCGTGATTATCTTGAATATCAATATTGATAAGATGTACAGGCTGATTGTCTTCTTGAGTTCTTGATTCCATGCATTCAATTACTTGATCATATACACGCTCCTCACACGTGATTAAAATATCAAATTTGTCTTTTGACAATTGAAATCTTTCAGGTTTAGGTTTTATCCGACGGTTTCTATCCAGCATGTGTAGCAGTCCGTTTTGTGTATAACTAAATCATTGTAGGTTAATGTATTTTATTACAAAACTATTAACTTTCACAATTAAAAATTTTAGGATACAGGAATACTGAATTATTACGTTTTTAATTGTAAAACAATATAATTAAAGTATAAAATTAGAGATTAAGTTTCTATGAATGCATATAAATAAAAATCTTGTATCGACAAATAACAAAACATAGCATAGATAAATATATTACTATTGTTTATCCTTGTTTAACAAATCATTATAGATCTCTTCATAGGACGTTCCAAAATCATAAATGTTAGGACGATCTGGAGCATTTCCTGGTAATTTGACTTTATCTCCAGTACCAAAAGATTTAACGTTAAAGCCTTTTTTACTGAAAGAAGTAATTAACAATTGTTAGTCTGTTGGAAATAGATCAATCTAATTAAAAATTTAATATTTTTTTTATTAATTATTATTTTTTATTATTATTATTATCGAAATCTCCGCTAAGTGGTTGACATAACCTTTTACCTTAGGAAAGCATGTGCTTCCATACTCCTGTTCATATTACTGGAGCAAATAACGGCTACGCTAAGTAAATTTGGGGCCGGCATTATATTTTAGATCAAATTTTTAATAAAAAATAATTCTGAAATTAATCTTAATTATTAACTAATATAAAAATTAAAATTTGTTTTTCAACGTCAATTTCTATACGTCCTACACATCGATTATTATTAATAATATTATTATAAATTTTATATAACAAAGAAATATATTTATTTATATTTATATAATTAAACCAAATAGTTTAACAATATTAATTATTATTTTACGAAGGTTATCGTTTCTTCATTGTACTATTCTGCTACTTTCGAATCAGCGTTGCTGTAACCCGTATTAATACTTTCAAAACCAGATGGCATTGCTGATAATCTTTCAAAACAAGTTCTGCGTAAACAAAGTATCTGATTGGTTGAATTGGAACCTTGTCACACACACACACATTCTGTACGAATTCTTATTGTATTAAATCAAATACAATTAGGTGATTGGTCGAAAATAAAATAAAATATAATAGCGGGTGTTTAAAATGCCAATGGTGAAAGTAATCAATTAATTGATTCATCAGATCAATACAGCGGCATCGAATAATAAAATTTCGTTAAAGTTCAGGTACGTTTATATATATATATATATATATATATATATATATAATAAAAAATAATAATATTATAAATATAATTAAAAGTTAAAACATGAATGATATTTAAATACGTAAATATATATAAATATTATTACGAGTATCGAAAAGTAGAAAAAAGGAAATTAACACATTTGGGGTTGGATGTTGGATTTAGTTGAGGGTGTGTAGATGGCAGGGGTGGATTGTACATTGGATATTGGTAATGTGTAAGAAGTTCGTCTAAAGTAGAAAAAAAGCACTCTAACACGTGGTTTTGATAATCGATCGGGACATAAGCTAGCTGACCCGCCGAGTAGGAGACTCACTTTGCAAAGCGTGCACGTCGATGTGTCCGAAGGAACGTAACGGAACCAGAAACAGTATGGCTGGAGGATTTCAGCTGTTTCATGTCAGTGTGTGAGTGCCGATGAGTGAGAGAAGACAAGGATCGTTGCTGCTCATGCTTTTCACTGTGAATTTCTAATTAATGTAAGTATGTATATAAATCAATACCTTTTTTCTATTTGTAAATTTAAGTTCAATGTGTGTAGATTAGTTTCTATATTTCATATTTGATTTTGATCGTTCACTATTTCATCCATTTCCTATTAATCACTTTTTTTATTGATGTTGTCAATATAAATTTAAAGTCGGATTAGTATCAAATATTTTTATTGAGCTTCTTATCATTTATTGATGAAATGATAACATTTTTTGATATTAAGATGTTCTTTTTTATCGATTTTCAGAGATTATATTCTCAGATGTAATATTGTTATATATAGAATGATGGTTGTTATTTATTTTTAATACTATAATGGCGGAATACGTGAAATTTAATTAAATTTTAAAATATAATAAAAATAAAATAACAGATTTATTAAAAATTAATATTAATAATTAATAATAAAATATTAAGTAGGCTATATATGAATTTACTGTTCGTATGAAAAAATTTTTTTATTAGCAATTTCAGAAAAATGATGGCTAATTTTATAAAATAGCAGCTTCTTAATCGAAGGACGTTCAATGGCCTCGCATTTTTATTCTACAATTTAATATGATTTTAATTACGAAAAATTAAATTTTTATATTCATATGTGACCTACATTTTTGTAATATTTTCATTACAAAATTCGTTTTGAAATATCTGAAAATTATGAAATGAAATAAATTTAAAAATTCAAATCCTTAGTGGCATCAGCGCCATTTTTCAAATTGAAACTTACTTCCGGATCCAAAGAAGGTTAAAGCGGTTTGCTATCATGTTTTTTAAATCCCTAAGGTGCTTTTATATTTAATCGTCGCATCATACGTAAAAAGTATGATTGGATATGAAAAGTGAGTCAGAAGATTTGTCTATGCTCGAGTTTGAAATTAGTTTGAGTTTGATGTCGATAAAAGTTTAAATGTCATTAGTCATTACGAATTATTTTTATTTAAAAAAATAATGTGAACGTTTTAAAGAAGTTTGTGTTTGTTGATCAAGTCCTGCCAACGTAAGTTAACACTTATTGAAGAATTTGCAGGGTCTTTATAATTTTCATGAATATAAGTAAAAATTCATTGTCAATTATCTTCTTTTGTAAAATAAGAAAGAAAACAATGATGAGTCAACAGTGAAACAATTGAAAGTGAATCTTATAAAATCTTAAACAAGTGTTTTTGAACATACTATATTTGAAAGTAGATTATCTTTTGTTAATGTTTGACAAATATTTGAATTTTATTCACAATTATTTTCTATAAATGATCTATGATTCTTAACAGGTTTACCTAACCTAGAAATTGTTAGACATTTCCCAATGCCAAATCTGTGGTTAACATTATGATTAGTACAATGGTATATACATGTTAGAAGATGTTAATCCTTGATTAGCATTTTATTAACTTGTAAGAATATTTATTTAATTTATTCTACTTTAATTATATACTTTAAAAAACATTCATCACTTTCTTACTTTCAATACAATGAAGTCGATAGATATACAGTATTTAATCAATATTAAATTGTGTTAACCGATACATTGTATTAAAGTTTTCATAGACAGAAAATGAACTAAAGTATGTGCGATTTTAAATGAGTTACTTTAAAAATCATATTTTGCTTTTTCTACGGTCTTCTTAGTATGCATTGATTTCATACAAATATTTTCATATTTTTATTAAGACACTGTGTTGTCTAGGAATA